ATATTTCTTGGCTATTGAGGTTGCTAAATCCAAGGAAGGTATAAGTCTATCTCAAAGGAAATATGCGTTGGACTTGTTAAAAGAAACAGGTATGTTAAGTAGTCGCCCTGTTGATGCTCCTATGGACCCAAATATAAAATTATTACCTGATGAGGGTGATTTATTTGACGACCATGGCAGATATTGACGTCTAGTTGGGAAATTAATTTATCTCACTATCACCCGACCTGACATTCCATATGCAATTAGTGTTGTAAGTCAATTCATGAGTGCTCCTAGAGTACCACATTAGAATGTTGTTCTTCGAATTATTCGATATCTCAAGCAAGCTCCGGGTTTTGGATTACTATATAAATCTAAAGGTCATCTCAATGTGACAGGTTTCACAAATGCTGACTGGGCTGGTTCTCCCTCAGCTAGGAGATCTACTACAGGCTATTGTACACTTGTTGGTGGAAATCTTGTTACATGGAAAAGTAAAAAGCAAACAGTTGTAGCACGGTCTAGCACTGAAGCAGAGTACAGGGCGATGGCCCATACCTCTAGTGAGTTATTCCATTTTTTTGTGATAACCAAGCAGTTATTCACATTGCTTCCAATCCGGTATTTCATGAAAGAACCAAGCATATTGAAGTTGATTGTCACTTCACTCGAGAGAAAATATTGAGTGGGAACATTTCTACTCCATTCATGAAGTCTGAAGATCAATTGGCTGATATGTTTACTAAGGCTCTTGGTCATAATCGGTTAAAAACGATTTGTTCCAAGCTGGGATTATATGATATATATTCTCCAGCTTGAGGGGGAGTGTTAGAACACTTACATGTATATATGTATTTATGCTTGGGTCATATTGTAATTAGATATAGGGTTTGTGGCCATTATGTAAATAGGCCTTTCTTGTATTGTATAAATACCCTCTTATGTTTTTAGGGTGAAGATAATGAAGTACAGAGGGCTGCGCCTCTAATTAACATTCTGCTCTCTCTCTCTATCTCTCTATCTCTCCATCTCTATCTCTATCATACACACAATTTCACAATATGCATTCCATTGTGCATATGATACCACCGTGGGGTACCATCTAGCACATATATGTGAGTTTATGGTACATGACACGGAAAATCAAAAGTTTCGCTATTGTTCAAACTTCAAATTTTGGAAATTTTGATCAGTATATCACAACGAATACAAAATTACGTGAAAATAGATCATGTTTTATAGAAAAATAGAAGATGCCCAAAGAATGGTCAGGTGGCAGCAATCCAAAGAGACACCCACTACCAAGTACACACAACACCACACTACCACTGACAAGTAAACATATTCTAAAATTAAAGGAATCAAAAACCTGAAGGATATAGAATTCATGCGTGGAAAACTCATAAATATCAGACAATTTAGTCAAACAAAAGGGATTCTGAGTGGGATCACCCGAAGAAACTAGAGCTCATCTGTCACAATCTTCAGTTGGGATTAACCAGAAGAAACCAGAGAAATATTTTACCTTACCGAGAGAGAGTGAGAGAAACCAGAGTTCATGTGTCACAATCTTGACTTGGTTGGCTGCCCTTGACTAGGAGTAGGACAATACAACAATCTGACTCTAAAACTAAACCACTTCATCAAGAAATGATATAAATATTCTTTCTAAAATTTCAATCTTTTTGAATTCTGATTTTCCAATACTACTATACTTTTTATGTATTTCAGATTTAAAAATTTTAAATTACAACTGCAAGACCCAGGAAAGTGATCCAGTTCTCCAGTGTTTAAACACTAAATGTTAGGTCAGTAGTACTTTGTTGGAAAATTTTGTTCTAAAGTTGGAGTCTATTTTAGTTTTTAGGTTCTATTTAGTCTTTCAAAAGTTAGTTTTAGGTGGTTGAGTTACCTCTGTGCAAGGGCATAAGTGCAATTCAAGCTACAAGGTGAAAAAGCTAATTACAACTCAATTATGCACTCACCAAAACTAGGGATTCGTGTTCAGAATCTTCAGATGCATTCGTGGGGGTTTTAAATTATATGTTAAAATCTATAAAAATCCTTTTAGAATGCATAAAAGTGTTTGTGGAAGTTCCTAAATTTAAAATCCTAATACAATCAGGACAGGGCTTCTTCAATCAATTGACCGAGGGATCCAATGAAGGCCACTGTTCATGTTCCGAATGATAGAAAATTGTCTCAATTATTGCAAGTTGTGAGTTTCCGTTTCCAATTAAACTTAAACACTATGCAATCCTAATCCCCTATTGCGCATTTAAACTATATATAAACACCGTACTATGCTCAGATTATAGACACAAACCTAAGGCAAAGATAATACAAGCATACTGAGTGCATTCTAGCAATGTTGATTGCTAGTTTTTGTTTCTATCACATACATCATCATATATCTAGATGGTGTGTGGTTTGAGTGTTGATTATCATAGTCCAAGTGCTACAAAAGGGGAGTGCACCCAAGATATAAAAAGCGAGCCCAGGAATTGGATAGGGGTGGCTTGTTTGGTGCAGAGCCTGGTTCAATTTTCATCCCTAAAATTGAGAACTAATATGGTCAGTATTTTTAAGAATGAAAATCCAAGAATAAGCTCCAAACTATGGATTTGTTTAAGCAAAAAGTTATCATTCAACATGGCACTTGTATCCTTTGCAGAAGGGATACTGAAACCGTCCAGTATTTGTTCTTCAAATGCCAATTCTCAAACAAAATCTGGAATGCCCTTCAGCTAAGGATGCAATCAATATGGCCAAGCAACTGTAACCTCATTTCCTGTTGGAATGGGTAGCTTCTAATCTTACAGGAAAATCATGGGAAGGCCAGCTCCACAAACTTTTCCTTTGCTGCACGTCTATCACTAATGGAGGGAGAGAAACAACAGAAGATTTTTTACTGTTCTTCTCAGGTTTGCTAGATGATATGAGGATGAAGATGTTCAAGGTACTAATTTGGAAGACTCTCATGCTTGCAGTAGCTTTCAGACTTGCTGGAATATGTCTATTCTGTAACTAGCTTTTCTTTGGTTTTCTTTTGCTCTTCCCTGCTGTACATAGGGGGGTATGCCCCTCTTTTCTCTTGTACCTAGCTTCCTCCTTTATCTAATTGCTATTTTATAAAAAAATAAATAAATTGAAAATCCAAGCCAACATTCCGCCGCACTAGAATCTCTAGAATTTAAACCTCCTCTACAATTTAATGGAGTTTGAATTTGTCAATTCTCAAAACTCTTTTACAAAAGATTTCCAAAAACAGATTTCTAAGGATTCTACAAGAATGTTTCACAGACCAACCAAGAGTAAAATAAAAGCAAACTGGAAATCTGAAATTTTCTCTCCGCATCAAATATACATTGAGTCAAAAGAGAAGAGTTTTTAGAATTACACAAGTAACAAAATCATCCAGCTGCTGAAAGACTATGAAAATTGCAAGCAAAATTAAGTGGCTTTGAAGTCTAAATCAATAATAACACAAAGTGTTAAATGCTCCGACACCCCTCCAGGTTTGCCTTTATTGCTCACGGATGAAACTAGAGGAAAATACAGCCTAAACCACCCCTCAAGTTTGGTTAACTTTGTCCTGACACCCCCTTCTGTTAGTTGACTGTCAACCATGTCAACAGGCAACTAATGTAAAAAATAAAATGCCAAAACTACCCCTCAATTAATTATTATATTTTTTACGGCTTTTGTGTGGCATATATCTAATCTCCAGTTCACTATATATATATATATATATATATATATATGCATACGCTATTGCAGAAAAATGGAGTGCTGTTGTTATATTTCAGCCGCACCATTGTCTTTATCCTTGATCATTCTTAGCTCTCATGTATTAATTTCACCATTTACACTCTACAATCCATTAGTTCTTCTTTCACCCTCTATTCAAAATGGCCATCCCATGTACCCATCCCATCAATCCAATTCAAACCGTAATTCACAACCAAATCCGACTTAGTTGTCAGTACTTGAGGTCTACATCACGATCTCAAGGATTACAGTAGTTCTTCGGCAATTTTTCATTTTTCGTTGTTGCGATCAGCTTGTGCAAGATTTATATATATATATATACGTATACACACTTGTATGTGTAATTGATAGTTTTTTGAAAGTGATTCGAAATTGTTTAGGTTTTAGATTGGAAACGTACCAGTACCTACTGTTGCGAAGAAACCAACCACCTAAACAACAATAATTCAAAACTTGAACAACCAAAAATCCCAATCGCAAACCTGAGTCATTATAACCATATTTGCAAACCCAATTTAACAAGCACATCAAATCAGACACACCAGTTTCACGTCAACCTTGAACCTTGCCGAAAATCCAAGCCTAAAACAAAAAAACAAATACATGCCACCAGTTAGCCATTGAGCGTCGTCGTTAGTAGAAGCATTCACCGGAAACCAGTCGCCGGATTCACCACCACAGTCGTTACATCTCGCTGTCGAAACCGAGCCTTGTGCCATAGTTTGCTCGCCATTCGCCATTGTGGACATCGGAATACATTTCTGACCATTTGTTTCATCTTCTCGATGCTTCGTCACCATTGCCGTTGGTCTTCCTCTCCGTCATCACAAAAGGAGCTTGTCGCAACAACATCGCAAAAGAAGACTACTGAATGTATATCTATTTTTAATTTTTTATTATGGAAAGGCAAACATTAAATGTACTCTGTATTACTGACGTGTACTTTAAAGGGAAAAAATATAGAAATTTCTTTTTCTATTTGTTTTTTTATATGTTAACAAATTAAGGTATGAGTAGAATGGTAAAAGCATATTCTCTGTTAAAAAACAAACGGGTGTTAGTTCTCATAGGGGGTGTCAAAGCAATTTTTGCTCAACTTTGATCTGAGAGAAATAAAAGCAAACCTGAGGGGGTGTCAAAGCATTTAACCCTAACAGAAAAGGCATAAAAATTATTTGTCTGGAAAAAGAGCAAAAGGGGAAACATTGAAAAGATGAAAATCAATGAAAAAAAATGAAAGAACAAACCTTCCACCCATCCTTCTGGCGCATTGAATGCTCTAATATAATTATCAGGAAATTGTGTATGAGGTCTTCAACATCTTCAAAGCTTGAATAATTTGAATCTTTACATGCACGAATCTGTTGGAACAAGGACAACAATTAAAAAAACTGAAGGCAAAAATTTTAGATGATAACCACTCTCACGGCCAAAGACCACAACATTTTTACCCAACTAATGATGTGTAGTTTAAACTGCAACTGCCAAAGGAGAAACACGATCAACATAAAACATTTCAGATTGAGTATAGGTAATATTACCTCATAATTGGATATAAGAACCTCTAAAATCCACTCAGGCCATTCCTCCATTTTAATAAGACTGCTTCTATTTTCTGGGTGACTGCAAGCCAAAAACAGAAGATCCTGAAATCAAACAGAAAGGAAAACATAAGGAAAGGACCATGGTAAGGAAAGCCAATAATTTGCATCTAAATCATATTAATTAATTGAACTCGGAAACGAGTAGTGGATGTCCAGAATCTCATGTTTGATATATGCATCTACTAGAATGACAGGATATCATGTGACAATAAAACTTATCCATATTGACAACGCATTATCTTTCATTTGTCATTTTGTCATAAAAAGGAATGTAGTACCACAACCTTCAATCTATTTTGCTGGCCAAAAACAAAAATAGAAAGGCATATATGAAATCAAAATCAGCAAATTGTTGCATTTTGCAGTCTCAAATTCACCTCAGTATTAAGGATGCACATATGCAAATATTTCAAATTCAAAATGCCACAGTAAAACTTTGTACAACTGAAACAGAAACACTACCTATATTTAATAATGGAAAGTCAGAAGAAAATACCTGTATTGCTCGGCTTTGCAATGCCCTTGGTGCATATGGAAGTGAACGAAGAAGAACCAACAAAAGCTTTAAATATTCAAAGTGAAGGCCAGAATCATAAAAGTTCAGCCCATCATCTGTTGAAGAAGCATTTATCTGAAACAGAAAGGAGAAGAAGCATCTCTTATTCCCATTGTCAAAGTGTAAACATATATTAACTTCTATGAGTAAATATTCAAATTGGTATGTTTAAACTACCAATGACAGGGCTTAAAATAAAAATACAATGTAGAACCAAAATTCATATTAAATCACCTTTAAATAATCATCAAAATTCACTAAAAAATCATATTTAATAGATACTGAAGTTAAAAATTCTATATCTGCTTGTTAGGTCATGAAATGCAAGGTCGTGAAAATTTCATGACCACGGTGTTCGATACCATTACGTAGGCCTAATACACCCCCGTTCATAAAACCATGCTAGGAGAAGCTACCCACATGCATTTGACAAGAAGTTGCAAGTCTTATAGGAGCGTACCAACAACCAATCACCCACTATAAGATTCAAAGGAAGCCCTTTAAATTCCTGAACAGGACCATAAAGAGGCTACAAAGATAACCTTGTATCATAGTGTATGTGATGTAATTTTAGCTTAATAAGATAAAGGAGTAGGGGAGAAGAGAATTGATATTTGATGACCAAGACATATTAAAAAGAACATTTTATAAAATTTTGATCTTTTTTTATAATGAGGGATGGATTCAAAAAGATCTTGCAAAGGCAAGTCAAATTGTAGACAAGTTATATCATATTTTAAATTAGCCATGCTTGATGCGACAAACTGTTAAGCAAAAAATAGAGAACATATTGGGAAATTATTGTTTTCTTGGCCTCTCTGAAGGTCTAAGGTGCCCTTTGGCCCTTTTGTTTCTTTGGGCTTCGCTCCCCTTTTGAGCGTTTTTAATAAAATCTTACTTATCAAAAAAATATATGGAACGAAAACTAATAAATGCAACAGAAATAAAAATAAATAAATAAATATATTGGGAGTGTAGCAAGGAAGAAGAGAAGGATGATAAGTATGAGAACATGGGAAGTGTCAAAAACAAGGTAAATAATGGTTTAAAATAATATCACTAACCCCCAACAAAGGGCTAGCCCAGTGCACGAGGCTCCAGCCATTGTGGGGTTTGGAAAGGGTCAAATGTACGTAGCCTTACCTCCACATGCAGAGAGGTTGTTTCCTTGGTTCAAACCTGTGACCTCCGTGTCACAATGGAGCAATCTTACCATTGCGCCGAGGCCACCCTCACACTGAACCCAAACAACTAGGACCAAAAAACTGCAGAAGCACCACTTTACTCATCAATCCCACTCTAATTATGCATCATTATGGCAAATGTCAGACCGGTTAGTTGGACAATCGAGACCTATAACTATTAACAAGAACCTTTTATGGCTTGACAGAACATCCATAACATTCTAAGAGCAAAATAGAACCAAGGGTTCAAACCACTACAAAATATAAATTTACACAGCTGCTTGAAACCATCCAGCTACAAACAATGTCACATAAACCCATAACGTGGCATGCCCTTCCGGATACCACAATGTTTTTGCCTTTGTGCATTGTCTCCCTCGCTAAGAGTGTAAGTCCATACATCAGAATTTCTAACATGGGTCATCTATCTCATTGTCTAGATGAGAAAGATCGTTAATGCGACATTCTTAAAGCTACTTCTACATTGTTTCCTCTATTCTACATCATATGATTATTGAGTCTTGAACCTGTTGCCCCTTCCCTGTGGTTATCAAAATGAGGGAATACAACGTCAACTTTGTGCTTTCACTAGTGAACATCACAGTTTGTTCATCACTCTTAATTTACTAAAGGGTAAAGTGCAAAAAAAACCCCTTCAACTATTGCCCTTTTGCAACTAACCCCCTTGAACTAAAAACTGCCCCCCTGGACTATTGATTTGCTGCAATTAAGGACAAACTCATCGCAAAAGACTATTTTACCCTTTCTCATTAAATTTGTCATTTCTTATTAAATTATTTTCATTATATTTTTTCTTATCTAAATATTAATTATACTATTTACCTTAATTTTATTATTAGTTTCAATTTATCATAAAAATGAAAAAATAAATAGATTTGTAACAACCATTTTCTAAAATGATTAACTTATTATTAAAATTTTATTATTTATAATAAATTTATTATACCCAGTTCTTTTTCATATAATATATTGATGAAAATTTAATAAATCACTTAAATAAAAAATACCTTCTTTTTAAAGTAATATATACATGAAAAATTAAGAAATTAATTACATTGTTTTAAAATTTTCTACTTAAGATTTTTATTTAAACAATTAATTTCAAAAATTAAAGGTAAATTTATGCAAATTAAATGGAGAATATGTCATCAAATTAATATGAATTTTTTTCATAATTTATTTCAAATATATATATATATTAAGTGTAATTCAATAAGAAAGGGCATTATGGTCATTTAATGAAATATAGTTTAGGCATTGGAGCATTTTGCAACAAAATGTGATAGTTCAAGGGGTATTATGCACAAAATATAGTTTAGGGGGGTTATTTGCAAATTCGAACATAGTTTAGGGGACTTTACCCATTACTAAATACAAGAAGACCCAATATACTTTGGTCTTGAAGCTTTTACTACTGAACATCGCAGTTTGTTCATCATTATTAAGTACAAGAAGACCCTATATACTCATTCACTACCCTTATCCCTGTTAGAACAGATTATTTGAATCCAATCATATCATTTTTCAAAATCCACTCTCCTGTTTAGTCCAATTGTTTGTATAATAGATTTTTTCAGTATTTTTTTAATTTCTCTCTTTCCAATAATAGTTGTTCATATTTTACTTATCAAAAAATAATAATAATAATAGTTGTTCATATTTGTGAAACTCTCTCTTTCTACATAATTTCATATTACATTTGTAAATTTTTAACTATTTATTATTATAATAGATGTTATCAGTCTGAGGTCATAGTCCAAATCCATTAAATCATTGAACTTTGAACCTGTCTCTCTTGCAGGGTCGCTGAACCATTCACGTTTGAAAACAGTGCTAATGGAAGCATATACTAAGTTTAACTTCTTTTTATAAGTTCTACTTTGCTCTTAGAACGTTATGGATGTTCTGCTAAACCATAAATGGTACTTGTTCTAGGTCTCGATTGTCCAGCTAACCAGTCTGACATTTGCCATAATGATGCATAATAAGAGTGGGATTGATGAGTAGGGGTAAACTGGATAGAAACCCAATCTTAGACTCAAACCAGCATTGTCACGCTTGGCACTCCAAGCATTTTACCATCTACCAAGCAAAGGGCCCTTAAAACTAGTAACATGCAAAATTCAAGAACTTCCTCTTGCATATCAGCTTTACAAATTCAAGAACTCGTTTAAAGATATCATGTGAATTTCAATAAGCAATCAAATTTGATATTCAAGAAATAGGCAACCTAAAAGAAATTAACAATGAAAACACAATAACAAGGATATGCCAAAAAACTCAAAGAATGCAATATTCGTATATATGAAGAATATCTCAAGTGTGAGAAGATTTTTAAAAAAATGACAGAAGAAGTGGATAACATTTCTCACAAGCTTTCTGAAAATCTACTGCTTTCGAGAAACATTTAGTTCTCCACTTTCTCAAAAGATAAAGAGTCCATCAGAAAGAGAAAATGGCCTAAAAACAAGTTTTTTCCAAAATCTTGATTGTTTTTGTTTCTTGATTTTGAAAATGAAAACAATATCTTAAAATGATATAAAAAAGACCCATGATAGTTGAAAATATAAAAAAATACATATTTCAAAGTAATGAGGATTAGGAGGCAAAACACGAATCACATACTCTAACTAAATTTATAACCCAGAACTTTCAGCAAACAATACATACATGAAATGCAAATAAGATGGTGTATGCTTGCCTCATTTCCTTAACATAAAACATACAAAAGGCATCAATAGAAACTAAACAATCAACACCTTCAACCGCTTCTCTTCATCACCCCGCCCCACCCACCCTCAAAAAAGGGGAGGGGGGAATCCCATAAATAGATTTAACCATATCATAGAGTTGGAAAAAAAAACTGCAAATTTTATATTGCATTTATCAGTAATGTTATTTATAAACAGAGCAGAAGGGATAGGCAGGACAAGAAACAGTAGATATCATACCGCGGCGCCTAATAAAGCCGTGTACACATTGCTGGTCATAAGCCTATTTGGCGCTGCTTGAAAAGCCTTCTGTAAAGCAAAAAGTAGAAGAGAAACTTTATCGTCAAACATCGTACCACCTCCCTCAAGCAAACCCAGAAGGTTGCTTGTCAAATCTAAAGGGGCGTGTGAACCAATTTTCAGATGCCCAGATGTAACTAAAGCACCTAACATTCTAATGATCCCAACAACAGTACCATCGCCTTTGTCAACATTATAGACATTATTCCGTGCATTGTCAGCACTTATAGAAAAGCTTATACCACCCAGATTTTTTATCAAAGGGCTCTCAGAGGCAGACGCCATCCTTTCAATATCAGCACCTCTGGAAAGACCAACAATGCTGCCACCGCTATTGAAAGACTTGTGTTCAAAATCTTTTCCATGGGAACTCAATTCCTTTTCCTCAGAGGATCGTAAATCATCACCATGACTACTTCCCAAAACCACACTACCATTGTCCAGTTCAGATCCGGTGAATGACACAGTTTCATCATTCTCAATTGAAAAATCTGGGTTATCATAGTCTCCGGCCTTTGCTTCCTGCTGCAGCAGGACAAGAAGTGTTTCTATCCCGCCACATGCTATAAATGCCTCTGCAAATGTGTGAGCTCTAGATGAATTTGGCTGCACCACCAACCTGTAGATCAGGTGCAACACCCTGGCAACCTGGAAGAGAAGAATTATAGAATATATTCCAATAGAATCGTTAGAATTCTCTGACAATGAAGTCTTCAAGTGGAAAAAATAACAATGATAATTATTACCATCCTATTATTGTTATTATTAAGAGATTAATCTACTTTAAAATCTTGTGCTTTATGGCGCCTGATTGTGTTTAATTGCAAGCTCATAAAGTGCATACTCCAAATGCCAAAGAAATCTAAAACTCATGCCAGGAAAAATAAATAAATAAAAAGCAAGTGAATAATTTCTAGAAATAGCATCATACATAATATAGTTAGATTAGAAAGCTACTGAGAAGCACAACCACTTTTATGATATTAACATGTTCCAAAATATGTTTGTTGATGGTATAACACCTCAACATTTAAGATAATCTGCAAATAGCAAAATTAGAGAAATGAAAACACGTTGAATGAATCCTTCAGAAAAATCATCTCTAAAACTAAATAATTTTAAGGCAAATAGATCGATTTGGGTCTGTAATGCATTTCACATTGTCTTAAGATGCTCTTTCATTTTCAGATGTTTTGAGGCAATGACAGGCTATGGAACCAAATTGGCTAAAGTGTTCTTTCTAGAGTTGGAGAAGTTTCTTCAAGAGATGGACACAAATTTGCAAGACAATGAATGATCTTAATTATGCAGAAAGTGACTAACCAAAAATAAATAAACAAATAAGTAGGAAGAAGTCCGGCAGTTAGTAGTAGAGTGAGATGAACAAGATTGGCAAAGTGGCACAATCTATCAAAAAGTTAAAAACTACATCAGCACAACATGCTAAAATTCGCTCCTTCTTCTCCCATATACATCCTAAATTTTATTTTATTTTTTTTTTTGTTAGATACATCCTATGATATTTTCTTCATGCAATTTGCTCCGACAACGTTGGACATGATTTGGAAGAAATTTCAATGGAGTCAAATGCAAGAGATAATTTAAGTATCAATTAGTTAATACGGACTAGATCCACCAAGGATTGGAGGAAAAGGTTTAGCAACTCAACATATAACTTTATGAGTGAGACTCAAGAGAAAATGGTTAAGAAAGTCAGCTAAGGTATCATTATGGTGATCTATAACACGTGGTCTTTTGGAGCGGGTAGTCAATTATGGAACAATTACTGCCCATACCTATCAGAGAACATCACTAAAGATTATGTCAAATTCAGAAGTGATTTTTAACTGCTAGGACGATGTATGACGATAGACTAAAAAAAGGACCATGAGTGCAACAGCTAAAACAGGATTTCTGCACTCTCTTTTTTAGGTGAAGCACGCTGAGATGTAAATTAGCCTTCCATGATTATAGCAATCAACGTCTATCATGGCACCACTGTTCAAAAGGAATTTACAAAGTATGGCATCACAATACAACTCTCCTCTTTGATAAGAGCAAGAGAGGATTGCTACTAGAGCCAATCTTCAACTTCTATAGCTAGTTTCAACTCAAACTAAGAGTAGAGGAAATCAATTAGACCAAGACAGTTTCCCAGTTAAGTTGACCTATACCACAGTCCTAAAGTAGCTTTTTCTTCCAGCTTCAGAAGAATCTTACAATTGCTGATTTAATTTAAAGCTTTTAGTCATCTATTTATTTGGACACTCGAACTCATTGCATTGAAGGCATTGACTAAAAGGAGGGCCAAACTCTAACATAAATACCTTTAGCTATATTTGGACTTTCTCAAAGAAAAGAGAGAGACAAATTATTAATGTTCTACAGAGGTGCTTTCTCTAAGAGGAGACCGTCCTCCAATTTTTTAGACTTTAACTATCAACAGATTTTCCATGACTCGATAAAAAGAGTACATTGATGATCAATATGTCTCTTTAGCTGAAAACTAAAGTAACTTTTCAATTTTTATATATTTAATTTATCTTCTTTTTCTCCGATCAATAAACTTGCATTCAGTGCATGAATTCACACAATAATTTTTTCTTAAAACCTTTATCAAAATTATTACTCTTTTTTGTTTAACATATACACAAAATTAGCCCATTAATTTTGACCACCAATATTTGTATAACTACAAGGAAGTGACAAGCCATAGGAGAAGAACGAGACTGTACAACCAAGGGTAACTTCAATAATATTTAACAACCTATTAAAGAATAAGGTTGTATGTGCAAAAAATTGAAAGTAAAAAAATTCACAAACAAACACTCAAGATGAACACTCAGAATTATGTTATTGCTTAGGCCAAAGCCTCTGGAGCTCAATAATTCTAATATTTGATGCCTTTCTAGGTACATGCTATTGTCTATTTATACAAGCTTCATTTGCTCTGTTACATCTGCCCTTATGTTTACAGATTATTTGCAGGGAATCAGGCAACACTCCCTTTGATCTTGCCTTTGACTTTATTTGAATTTTGCACTGCCATGCCACGTGTTGTGATGGGTCACGCCATGTGGCCGGCTGCCATTCGTTCTCTCTTTGTACAAATGTTTTATTCCTATTGGTTGGGTTTTATTCCCTCCACAAAGGTGATAAGAGAAAATGAGCTGTCCTTACAATACAATGTCCAATGCATATATACAGTATTGCTATCCCCTTTTTGCCCCGGATGATGCAAATCATTAATGGTACCTTTGTCAAGATTGAGGCAGTCAATGGTGCCTTGAAAAGAGTTTAGTCAAAGTCTATTAATTGTGGTGTGGAAATCTGAATATATGCTGCGAATAGAAGTTGTTATAAATGTTCTGTGGGTAGTCCAAAAGTCAGTATAGGGGAAGTAAGTATCATTAATAGTGGTCTTATAAAAAAGGACAGACCTCTATATGTTTTGCATTCAAGTTTTAATCAATATAATTTGAGATATTATCAGGGTTTATATTTCTCTAAGGCTTTCCCCCAGATTTCCCTATAGAAATCTAGGCTCCGACGGTGATTGGAGAAATTCTGGTCTTTCTTACTGTCGTAAGAAGACTTCTTCATTTTCTGCTTGCTTCACCGGGGTGAAAAGCAGATGAGGTACTACTGGGTGTTATCTCCAGGAAAACACATTAGTACTACACACCTGTTTCTACCATTCCTGAATCCTGAGGTGATCAAACATACAAAAAACTGTAGATCACATGCATTACTAGACAAAAAAAACACTTAAAACGGACAAAACAAAGTCATCATTATCATCATCGTCCTTGCCTTGTCTCAAATGGATGGGGTTCTCTTTTCTTATTATTTCCTATTATAGACCATGTCTCCTCTAATACTTAATTTTTTTAATTACTTCATTCCATATAATTTTTGGTTGTCCTCTCTGTCACTTACCATCTAGGCAAATAACTTTTCCTCTTCTAATCAGTGATCTTCGGATCTACATACATCTTCTGAAATTTTATCATTAACAGGCGTTAGTTCTAGTTTTCCTCTCACTTGTTCATTACTAAACTCGAATCTTCTAGTCACCGACAAAAATAAAGTATTACCAAGAAAATATATATAATAGGTACCAAATACATATATTGGTAATTAAAAATGTAAATATTCAACAACATGATGTTACCTGATTAGGTTGTGGACAGTCAACCATGAACCCAAGTAAACATCGGACATCATCCATAGCCAGTGAAGGAGAAGCTGCTACAACTAGGAGTTCAATAACCACTAAGAGTTCATCAACCAAAGCATTCACCTCGCCAACAGGCCGTGTTGTTTCATTCAGAGAACATGTGTTCACTGAATCGATTTCGCGAATAGTCCAATAGCATCTCCTGCAGCCATCAAGAAGCATCTGAATAGCATTAGCATCTCGCATTACAGATGACTCTGTGAAAACCATATCCGCAAGTGATGATAAAAGCTTCTTTTGGAGTCCATAGTTGCATAAGCTCCAAATCTTCAGATCAAGCAGCAGTGTACTGAAAAGCTGAACTTTGAGAGCATGGTTATTTTTCTGTGATTGGCATAACGAGACAACTGCTGCAACGAGTTCTTCATCTCCTACTCCATCACGCTTACCAACGTCAAGCAAAGACAAAGTTTGCAGAAGATAATTTAATATTCTTGACAATATCTCAGGCCCTCTTGTACGGCACAATTCTTCATTATTACTAGGGTGTTGAATAGCAATGGAGATAATTCTGAATATTGGAGCAGCAAGAGCAGTTGTGGTCAAAGACAAAGAATGATTTCCTGGTTGTGGTTCCAAGCTATTTCCATGGACATTGCTTACTGCCAATGGAAGTAAAGACAAGGGACCTCCATGGGCCAAGGCCCACAGAGCCTCTACGGGCCGCATTCTTGTGGCAACATGCACTTGCCCAAGAACTTCAGCCGGTCTCCGAAGCAATCCTGAACGTACAAAAACTTATTACAGATAGGAAACCCTTCCTCCAAATTCTTTTATGCTATGATGGAGAAACAATAACAAAATTATCAGTTGCATGCAAGTGATATTCAAGCTGGACTTCAAGGCTTTAGCTCACAAGTCTACAGAGTCCTCATTGTAGAAAAACAATTGAAGCCCATTTAATTAGTTCCTCATAAACTTATTTTAATCATTTGAAGCAGGCAATTGGGAATATATATAGTTGATTTAATTTGGAGTCTGATCAATAAAAAGGAGTAGAGTGAGGAGGGAATAAGAAGAAAGAACGTAAGAAAGGTAGATATTATTTTCTTACTCCTCTCATTCTACTTTTATGAGCTTCAAGTATTCTTAGCTTGAGAAGGTTTCTTAAGTGTATAAATCAAAATGTACTTCAAAGTATCACAAGTTAGCAACAATGGGCTGGCTAAGGATATCATGCTCAGTGCCAATAAAAGTTGGTTGTGAATTGTGATTTAATTCAAGTTTTGCTAGAGAAGATGAGAAAGATTTTGAAACCTGTAGCACCACATGGGGAAGCATCTGGACAGTAGCGCCCATTCAGTAAATTGGGATGATACAGAAGGTGAATGGTTCCTCCAATTTCTGCATCCAAAAGTGCACTTTCTTCTGCCATACTTTGAACATGTTCACTCATTGCTAGCCATGGTAGCCCAGCCCCATTACCAAAAGAAGGCAGCACATCCCCTCCTCTAGAAGCCAAACGTGCCATCCTCTCTGGCCCAATAGGTTCCTTAAAGATATATACAGGCCCCATCTCAGCAAATAAAGGGCATTGACGACGACGACGTTGTAAACCAGCCATTGTAGGCGGAGGATTGGTCCCGATGCAACAAAATGCAAGTGGCTTGGAAATCCGTGGGAAATCAAAGGGACGACTTTCATACAAGGATCCATCAATGTACAACCTTAGCTCACTCTCTGTTTTCCCAATAAGCCCCTGCTTACATGTATGCTCCAAACCAATAAAATACCAACATTGCGGCTTGAATGCATGAGTAAAATGCAAGGACGCCTTCTTTCCTTTGCCACTACCACTTTCAACTACCAAAAACTGAGCGTGAAAATATGCCTCCATACCCTGATTATCAGCGGATAAGAAGCTGAACAGCCGCGGCATGTGTGCAGTGCCTTCACCAGCAAGTGCGCTGGCAGCAGCAGCAGCTGACATGGCTGACGATTTCCCTGATTTGGCTGCAGCAGCAGCAGCAATTGCAGCAGCAGCAGTTGCTGTATTTAAAGTGTCCGCAAATGATTCGATGTAGATCCAAGTTGCAAATGCATATCCATTAGTGAAAGGCCAACGACTCTCTCCTGGACCAAGCAAACCAGAGCTTTCACCATCGAACTCAAATGTGCAAGCTGGACCCCTTGACTCCTTTCCACCAATGGCCTTTTCCAAAGCAAGCATTAAACGACCTGCCCATGCAGTGGTAAATGTCCTTGTGATGACTTGAAACCATCTATGCAAATCAATTACACTAAGTGTATGTCCGGCTAGGTACTGGATGCAGTAGCATAAAGGAGTTCCATCCCATCCCAATTGTTCTGTTGAATTAACATCCTGAACAAAAATCTTCTCAGCTGATCGCAAAAGAACTCCCAACAAACCAGCCATGGAGCACATCGCTCTGTTTCTTGTGCAAGCACTCAATATAGCAAGCAATCCTCTAACCATCCGAGTCCTGGGGGACATGAGGCCCTCAACATCTCCCGGCCATGGAAGCCAAGGAATAAGCTCACCTGCTACAATGGCAGCCCTGGAGTTCAGCATCACACTAGGAGGATTGTTATCCTCATCATCTTCAAAAGATTCAACACCTCCCATTGTGGCAAGAAGTGAATCAACTACCAAGAAAGCAATACTCTCAGCCTCGTCTCCATTTTCAAAACTCTCAACACCACTTACAATATTCTTCAGCTTGTCCAAGCTTTCGGGCTTCCCCATAATAGCAGAATCTACTAAATGCAGGAGCTCTGGAGACACATTTGGCAAAACGGGTTTTAGCCTAGGCCTTTGTGGCGAACCAACATGAGCATATCCACTAGCAGAATCAATACTAGTCGAAGAGGATGACTGTCGGATGTGATGAACCGATTGTCTCTCAGGCCCAGGGCTCGAACTATATTGATCATGGGGTGCCTCAGAAACTGAGGAATAATCGAACTCTGAAGTAAATTTCCCAGATGAAAAATCATAGGCTTCTTCACTCCCACCAGAAGAGTGTCTCAATTTATCTGAACTTAAAGGTTTATTTAAATCTATATGACCACCCTGAAAATCCCCGACACTTTCTTTATCTTTTAAAGAAACCTGCTCAAATTGGTCATCATTCAATGCCGTAGTTACAGTATCAGCACTTTGCAAAACTGTATTGTTACTTACTATACCATCTGTTTCACCACCATTAATATTGACATATTCTACATCACGTGTTCCTACCCTTCCATCATTGCCACTGCGTTCTTTGTTAATATCAGAACCCTTCCAAGAAACTTCCCCAAGTTTTTGTGCTTCTTCTTCCATAATATTGTTACTATTGACTTAACCTAGTAAGCCCTCAACAAACTCATTATACAATCAACTTCACCTGCGCATATTTAGACCATGAAAATCGAAGATTGGCAAGATCAATTCAAAAAGACTGCCAGTCATATATAACAATATACAGAAAATGAAATAAGTTGAAAAAACCCATCAATCCAGTTTAGTTTTAGCTCAATGGTAATTATGTTCAAACCGACTGAATAGGGCTCACTTCCCGAATCAGATGAATGCACTCATGAGAGGGTTGTGATTAAATCAGTCTCTTGAGTTGCAAAAAATATATTTTTCTTAGCTCAAACACAACAATAGACCAAATTGCCAATCAAATTCCCATAAAATAAAACAAAACAAACTCGGATGCATTAATAAGTTTGAAGGATGACAGAGCAGTCAATATAATGGGTCAGCTTATTCTCTCCACTTTGTTCAAAGAAAGCCCGCCAAATGAGCATAACTGGTCGCACCTCAGATCACCCAGAATACCCATTTGGCCGAACTCACCAGTCCCCACTAAATTCAACCTAACACGTCTACTTAAACAACTGAAACGGCAGACTACGAATTCAATCTATAATATCATTCTTGTTTTCTTTCCTTCCGATTTGTCTACAATTTAACGAATGGTTAAATACTCGAAAACCAAAAGGCAAAAAGAGTAAGAACCTCATTCGAACCAAATCGATTTCCGATGGAAGCAGAGAATGGAAAGAAGTAGCAGATCTAGCTTGGGCAATGTTCTTCCAATCAGTTACCAACTTAGAGATTCATCTTTAACAAATGATGGATGAATATTACTGAAGTGATATACAGAGCACGTAGTGAGAGAGAAGGGAGTAATCGGAGAAAATAAGATGTAAGTTGTTACCTTTGGGATTGGATCGAGAATGTTCTTGAGTATGGTTTGGTACGTTTGGTGTTGATTTTGAATTGTAGTGATTGATTTGGAGTGAATTGAAAGAGAGAACGAAATTGATCAGACGGATAGAGAATGACAACAGAATCGGAGGATCGGGGGTTTTCGGAAGTCGGAGAGGAGTGTGGGAGTTGAGCGCCGAGAGGAAGGCCAATCAGCAAATAGGCCCCGTCGTAAAAGCCCAATTCGAAAATTATGCTTCGTGCAGTTTCCTTTCCTCAACTTAGGTCAACGCATTAGATACGACCTGGCTTGATTCAATCCGATTTAATAATGTTATGTTTTGGAGCACAATGTTAAATTTTAAATTAAAAAAAATTTAGTTCAAAATTTATAAAAAAAAAAATTTTAATTTCAAATTTAATATGCCGATTAAATACTATAAAACATAACTTACGAAATATATTTCCTATTTAATTTTATTTTAATTTTCTGTAATTGAAATCGTATCGGATTTATCTTATTTTATTTTCAATTCAAGAAAAAAAATTATAATAATAAGAATGAGAATAATTTTATAAATATGAAACCGCATTATAGATGATAAAACATTATGTTAAGTAACAATTTTGATTAATATTTTCATCAACAACGTGAATGATATATAATATATTTGTAGTACATTATTTATTATATTTGGTCATCACATTCGCCATAATTAATATTTGATTTGTTAATTTAATGAATTACAGTATTAAATTCAAATAATTAACTAATATTTCGTATAAGAATAGTTAGCACATAATTAGTGTAGCATTGTTTATCAGACTTGAAATGACTTTTATGCTATCTGCGGGAATGAAATGGAATGGATTGTTTATTTCAATCATTTTTTTATTTGATATATAATTTAAAGTATATATATTTGGAAAAACTAGACTTGCATAGAATTAGAAGCCTTAAATAACAAAATAATCGATTTTAAAAGTTCATTTTTTACTTTGGTTGAATTAAGTAAAATAATTACATATGCATCAATAACTATTGTTTAGGTCCAAAATGCCCACCAAACACTTATTCCAAAATATTAAAAATTATTCCCCTAAAATCAAGTACTTTCTAAAAATTATTCGCCTTTATTGTGGTGCATGCCCGGAGATAATCATCAATTTTTTGTTCAATTAATTACACTTGTTTTATAAATAAATAAAATGATTGCTGGTGTACCATTTAATGAAGCAACCATTTAGTTTTTTCATAATTTCCCTCTATCGTGTTGTATGTACTGTATGTGTAGATATGTATATCCATATATGTTCATATGAAAGTTTTTACATTTGCAAGTTTATATTGGTATGAATTATGATATATGGTTAAAATTATACACATGTATATATATATGTGTGTATGATGAATTTCTACCTGCCGGGAAAAAAAAATCTATATATAATGAATTTTCACTAATTTTTTTGTATATTACCAATATATTGACCAAGTATGCGCGCGTGTGTGTATATATATACTAGAAAAGGCACGTAATTTATCGATTTTTTTTTTTCATATATTTATTAATTGTTTATAGTTTTCGTTGTATGATATTGTCAGATATTAAATGAATTCATATCAACAATGTTTAAAGAGTAGTAATAATGGTTACCTCAAAAGAAACAAAATAAAGTTTTTCATTGATGGATGAATCATCCTAAGTATGATATATTAGAAAATCTGAAAGGATACCAACAATATTTAGATTGTACTTAAGAGGCACCACAAACTATTCCAAACTATAATTTTATTAATTCCTAAATTATAACTTTTTGAAAATATAAGTATTCCTAATTTATTTATTTCTCAATCTTTATCTTTTTTTTATATCTTATTTATGTATGAAATGAATCATTGCCAAGTGTTAATTTTTTTAATTATTTTAATTATACTTTTATATAAATTATTTTTATAAAAACTATTTATCTATTAATTAATATTTTTTTTATATATATATTTTGTGTTATAGAAACTCTTTTAATAATAGTATAGGGAATTTAAATTTTATTAGGTAATTTTTAGAGTTTTTAAATAATAGTATAGTTTTTTTATAGAAAAAACTAGATAAAATAGGTAATTTCAATTTTATTAGGTAATTTTTAGAGTTTTATAGAAACTCTTTTTATATTAATTAATAAATATTTTTTATATTTTGTAATAGAATTTTATAGAAAATAGATTTATTAGGTAATTTGTAATTTGAATTTTATTAGTTAATTTTTAAAATTTTATAGAAACTCTTTTCATAAACTCCTTTTATAAAAACTCTTTTTATATAAATTAATAATTATATTATATTAATTAATTAATATTTTATGTTTTTGTAGAAACTATTTTTATAAAAATACTTTTATATTAATTAATAAATATATATATTTTTTTATATTTTGTGTTACAATTTTATATAAACTCTTTTAATAATAATATAGATTTTTTTTATACTAATTAATATATATTTTATAGTTTCATAGAAACTCTTTTTATAAAAACTATTTTTGTAATTTAAATTTTATTAGGTAATTTGAAAATGGTGATATTTAATTAATAAATATTTTATAGTTTTATAGAAACTCTTTTTATAAAAACTATTTTTCTAATTTGAATTTTATTAGTTAATTTGAAAATGGCGATTGATTTCATTGGGTAAATTTTAGAGTTTTATAGAAACTCTTTTTATAAAACTCTTTTTATATTAATTAATAAATATTTATTTATATTTTGCGCTACAGTTTTATGGAAACTCTTTTAATAATAGTATAGATTTATTAGGTAATTTGTAATTTGAATTTTATTAGGTAATTTGAAAGTGGTGATTTATTTTATTTGGTGAATTTTAGAGTTTTATAAAAAACTATTTTATATTAATTTATAAGTAACTCTTTTTATATAAACTCTTTTTATATTAATTAATAAATATTATAAAACTCTTAAAAACTATTTTTATATTAATTAATAAATATATTTTTATATTTTGTGTTACAATTTTATAGAAACTCTTTTAATAATAGTATAGATTTATTAGGTAATTTGTATATTAGGTAATTTGAAAGTGGTGGTATATTTTTTTAGGTAATTTTTAGAGTTTTATAAAAACTATTTTTATATTAATTCATAAATAACTCTTTTTATAAAAATATTTTTTATATTAATTAATAAATATTTTTTTATATTTTGTTTGCAATAATAGTATAGATTTATTAGGTAATTTGAAAGTGGTGATTTATTTTATTAGGTAATTTTTTTTAGAAACAAATAGATAAATAGATAATTCTTTTAATAATAGTATAGATTTATTAGATAATTTTTAGAGTTTTATATCAATTAATAAATATTTTTTTATATTAATAAATAAATACTGAAATAGTGAAAAACTCTTTGCACATCTAATAATAGTATAGATATATTTTATGTTAGAGTTTTATAGAAACTCTTTTAATAATAATATAGATTTTTTATACTAATTAATAAATATTTTATAGTTTTATACTAAGTCACGTAATTCGCTCAAACCATTGGCGATCCATTGCTCCACGCGCGAATTGGCGTTTTGAGAGCGAATTCGCCAAAAATTCACGCTCTCATATTTTTGAATTCGCGAATTCAATTTAAAAATTCGCCGGTTTTTTAAGTTCAATTCAATGAATTATGTAAGGTAAAATCGCGTATTTTGTTCAAAAATTCGACTATTTTTGACAATAAATTTACGAATTTAGTGTGAATCTTGAGAAATTTCGATTTTACTCCCAACTTAAATAAACCAAATAAGGTTAATTATGTCAAAAAATAATCAATTTAATTTAATCAAGTAAACTTTGTCCTTTATAGATAAAAATCAAATAATATAAGTTATATAATAATATACTTAATATTTAATAATACTTAGTAACTTACCTTCATTAGATAATACTTACGTAACTTACTTTCATTAACTTTTAGGTTTGGAAGTTTGGATATTTCATGTCTATTTTAAAGTTTAGCAGTAGATTCTTTTATTTTTTAACATTGTTATTTCAAAGACAATGATTATCATCTTGAGAGCTTAAAGCAGGTTAAATGTATAAAAGGCATACTTTTAAATATTTATTTTTCTGTTATGCCCTATTCATTGTTATGTTTTTATTTTTATAAAACAACTTGTTTGATTGTCATGTTTGTTAATTTATGCATTTTTATAAAGTATGTTATATTGGTTGTGCATATTTAATTCACTATTCTGTCTTCTTATTTGCATGAAATTTATTTAAAACATATATTTATTATTATAAATTAATATTTTATATATTTATAATGCGGCGCACCCGCTCTAAGATTTTTTGGAATATGCCGCTCTCCCGTTCCCGCTCTATGTGACTTAGTTTGTGACAAAGGTTTTATAGAAACTATTTTTATAAAAACTATTTTTGTAATTTGAATTTTATTAGGTAATTTGTAGTTTTAATTTTATTAGGTAGTAGTGTGAGTATGTGAGTGATGTAAATTACATACGCAAAGTTCAATTTAATTGGAAAAATTGCAAAGACACTAAAATCTACATATACTATATATCTCCAACAAAGTGGTAAATGGTCAACACATCTTAGAATCCAATAATATAAATCATAACCATACACAACTCAGGGTCCAACTGCCTAATGAAGTGGGACTGCGCCTAAAAGAATAGTAAAATGGCAATATTTAGTTCAAACAATTTCTACTAACAAGAGAATTAGGATCTCACAGGTGAAAGGGTCCCTCTGGTTTATAGAGATTTATAGAATTCTCAACTTCACTCATTTTTTCCTTCCTTTATACCTCTATTTATAGGCTTGATGACATGTGCCCTCTTGATTGAATTTCAAATAAAATAATTAGATTTTCTCTTATTAAAAAACTTATAATAAATAGATAAATAGGTAATTTGTGTTAGAGTTTTATATAAATTCTTTAAATATATATTTGTCTAATGTGATATAGTTTTATTGAAAATATAAAATGTAATTTATGGTAGAGTTTTATTTAAATTATTTTATTTTCTTAAAATGTATCATTAAGGAAATCTAATTAGACAATGATATATTTAAAAGGTAATTTGTGGTAGAGTTTTATAGAAATTCTTTTAATTTTTTTTTATATCAATTAATAAATAATTTTTTATATATATAATAATTGTATAATTAAATTTTCTTTTATTAAAAACTCATAATAAATAGATAAATATATAATTTGTGTTAGAGTTTTATAGAAACTCTTTAAATATATCTTTATCTAATGTGATATAGTTTTATTGAAAATAGGTAATTTGTAGTAGAGTTTTATTGAAATTATTTTATTTTATTTAAATATATTTTAATAATAGTCGTATAATTATATTTCCTTTTATTAAAAAACTCATAATAAATAGATAAATGTATAATTTGTGTTAGAGTTTTATATATATAACTTGTGTTAGAGTTTTAGAGAAATTCTTTAAATGTATCTTTATCTAATGTGATAGAGTTTTATTAAAAATAAAATAAGTAATTTGTGGTAGAGTATTATATAAATTATTTAATTTTCTTCAAATATATCATTATCTAATTAGATTTCCTTTTATTATATCAATTAATAAATAATTTTTTATATTAATAATATTCGTATAATTAGATTTTTTTTTATTAAAAACTCATAATAAATAGATAAATAGGTAATTTGTGTTAGAGTTTTATAGAATTTCTTTAATTATATCTTTGTGTAATGTGATAGAATTTTATTAAAAATAAAATAGGTAATTTGTGGTAGAGTTTTATATGAATTATTTTATTTTCTTAAAATATATTCTTGTCTAATTAGATTTTATTTTATTTCATAGAAACTCTTTTAATAATAATATAGATTTACTAGGTAATTTGTAATTTGAATTTTATTAAGTAATTTTTAGAGTTATATATGAATTAATAAATATATTTTTTATTAATAAATAAATACTGAAATAATGAAATACTGAAACTCTTTACACATTTGATAATAGTATAGATATGTTGTTTTTTATTTTATTTATTTTAGTAATAATATATACACCATATGCAAAAATGCCAAGCTGAAAGTCAACTAAAAAAACTTGTTTTTCTAAATAATATGAATGAAATAATTATTTGATTTAGGAATGATATTTTCCACCACTTTTCACCACCTTTCACCACCACCACTGTCGCCGCCACTGCTTTCCATTACCACCATCACAGTTTTTCACCACCACCACCTTGCACCACCGCCACTGCTTCCACGACCTCCACCGATACCACTTTCCACTACCGCCACCACCACCATTGCCTTCCACTACTACCACCACATTCAACCACCGCCACCGCTACCTCCACCTCCACTGCCTTTCACCACCACCACAGTCACCTCCATTGGCTTTCACCACCTCCACCTATATCTTTTTCTACCACCACCGCCGCCTTCCATCAATACCATTACTGTCTTCCATCACTATCGCCGCTTTCCAACACCATCACCACCACCTACATCACTACTGCTTTCCACCTCCACCACCATCCACTACTGCCAGGATTCTAGAGTTGTTTTGATTTGCATGATCATTTTCTTATTGTGTGGAGGACCATACTTGCTTATTTGATGTTAAAATTTTGAGAGATTGCTTGGAAATAGTTAAAAAATTACAATTTATTTTTAAAAAATTATAAAAGAGTGTCATTTTGTTAATTTAATTCATTTGTTATTACGAGGGATATTTTGGAAAACTCAATTTGAAATTTATTCCATTATAAATTTTAAATTAGTTAAACCAAACAATAGAATGACAATAATCATTTTATTCCTACGCATTTCATATTTATAACCAACAATATAATAAGAATGACAATTCAATTTCATTATTGTACACCAAATGCAGCATTACTGGCTATCTAATGAACTTACACTTATTCGGGAAAATGATTAAAATCTGATCAATCATTGAGATTCAAATTAAATGTTTGGGAAGCAAACAAGCACTCGAAAGTACTCGATAAAAGTTAAGATGCCACTAATTACTGTAATTCTTAAGAAGACAAACACACTATTATAAATGAAACATGACCAATTATTATTTTGATATCTACAAATGTAATTTGAAATTAATAGTCAATAGACTCAAAAACATCCATTGTATTTGGAATCCTTTGAGTTGCAGCCCTAATTTCATTTTTCAGGGGTTTATTAAAAATTTAAGAAATTATAATTTAATTTGGTCTCTAAATTACTACTCAAATTTAAATAAAGAAGTGAAGCCCTTGTTTACAAAATAATGCTTTGTTTGAGAGTGCATAAAGGGCCGGCCGGGCTGTGATTTTGGGAACTCAGGACTATGCCCAAATGGTTTCAGCTGTTCAAGACTTCGGCGGCGCCTAACGTTGTGGGCTTGGCATGGGCTGGGTTTCATGCTTTTTTTGAGAATGACTTCATTCGATTCGAACTTTACATATAAAAATAAAATTAAAAAATGGACCTCCTGAAGAGCAAGTATGATTACAACGGTCATCTCCTGACTAAATCTATCTAGAAGATGACCAAGAAATTAATTATTCAGTTGTGACAATAAATTAAAGGAAACTTAATTCTTAATGCATTTAAAAATTAATAATTATTTATGTGTGGCAATAAATTATTTTAAAATTTAGCTATAAAAAGGTTATGACTCTTGTGATGGTTGCACCCTATTAAGGCTTGTAAATAGATTGTAACCAAATTGATCACAATTCATATTTAATTTATAAAATTATTAAATTATCAGATTGAATGTTTTAATACATATTCCAACTAGTTAAATTTAGATTAAACTAGGTCTAATTATTTGAGATGAAGGGTTGTTAATATATAAAATGGTGCATCATATAATTATGCAACTAAATAAATTACATAATAAATAATTAATATAATTAATCTAATAAAATAAATAATTAATATAACATACAATATAATAAATATATATTTATTTATTTAGTATTACTAAATACCTTTTAATTTATATTCAATTTGTTAAGAATTGTCTCGCACCACTGTAATGTGTCCGTTTAAGCCCACTTAATTAGGAATTTTTGTTTATCCAATTTAATGCTTTTGGTCATGTACAACCATGTATTGATTATGCATATATATGATGGTCATTGTTTCATTATCTTTTATAACATAAACAACTACCGCCATAACTTTGATGTTTTATGACATATTGTGCAATTAATTTAAGTACCTGAATTGGTAGATTGAGGGTAGTGTTCTGTTCCATTTTGCTTGACCTTGTATATTTTATAATCAGTCACTGTCTTTTACATGCATAGCAGCCCGAGATTAATTATGTAGGGATTGGGATGGATTAGCTTAAACAACCTAAGATTAGTTAGACATTCATGGACAAAAGCCATCACAGATGACCTCATAACTTATGTCCTGTAACTGTGGTTCCATGAGCAAGCAAGCAGACCAAAGTTATTATTCAATGCATATAATAATGGAATCATGATATGGCCTATGACCATTTAGTAATCTAGACACACACACTCACACTCACACTCACACACAGATATATATATATATATATATATATATATATAAGGAAGGAAAGCAAAAATAAAATAGGGAAGGAAAAAAATAAATGATCTAGTAAACTCTTATTTGGGAAAAAAATATACAGAAAAATAAGGGAAGTGCATATTTTTGTTACACTGGTCAAAAAGAGCAAATTGTATAATTACTATCTTATTATTATTTCTAAATAAAAAAAAAGGAGCAAAAATTCTATTTGAGGGGTTAAAGAACATATCCCTTTTTATTCCAACTCTCTCAATAATGTGTTAACAGATACAAAATTGTGTACAACTTCGAATATACCTTTTTCAGCTATAATTGGACCTCCAATCATTAGAAGAAAGACAAAAAAAAGAAAAAGAAAAAAGAAGGGGGGGGGGGGGGGGGGGCCAACACCAACAACTATGAAGCTTGATTTGACCTGCCAGATTAATTCACTCATCTTTGGAGTTGTTAGGTCATTGTATCGTATTACGGACTGAAATTGAACAAATTTGTACTGTGGGACTTGAATGAAATACACTGTGACGTTGTTGTTGAGTTAAACTGAGACAAAAATTAAATTTGGGACTGTGATTTAGTTTTGTTGGGTTGCTGATTTGTGAACGGAGGATTGGGCAGTATTGTTGTTGTTTTTGTTGAGGAGTTTGGGCAAATGTGAAAATTGGAAGTGTCTTTGTGCCCAAATTTAATAATTACCCAAAAGCTGATTGGTGGTCCACGTTGCAGATGGAGTGTTTTGATGTACAGTGAAAGAATTAGTGCCAAGGTTTCTGATGTTTCAATCTGTCAGATCAACATGGTTCATTCAAATGATATGTTGGCTATGTTCATCGTTCAATGAACTATTATATCATGAGATTATGGAATGAAAAGACATGGACTGTTTACACAAGTTGTTGGTGACCTCTCTCTCCTCAACTCATCACCCTTGGCAAAGCTATTGGATACATGTCTCCGCTCAAAGTCAGCTCGGGACACCCGTCGTGTCCATGCCCGCATCATAAAGTCTCAGTTTTTCTCAGAAATTTTCATCCAGAATAGGTTGATAGATGTGTACGGAAAGTGTGGCTGTTTGGACGATGCACGCAAGGTGTTTGATCGGATGCCCCAAAAGAATGCTTTCACTTGGAACTCGGTTTTAAGTGCATTAACAAAATCGGGTTCTCTTGACGAAGCGGTGCGGCTTTTTCGGTTGATGCCTGAGCCCGATCAGTGCTCTCGGAATTTAATGATCTCAGGGTTGGCTCAGAATGATCACTTTAAGGAATCCCTTGATTTTTTTGTTGAGATGCATAGGGAGGATTTTGTACTGAATGAATACACTTTTGGTAGTGCTCTTAGTGCTTGTTCGGGTTTAGCGGATATAAAAATGGGTACCCAGATCCACGCTTCAATATCAAAATCTCCGTACTTATTGGATGTTTATATGGGGTCTGCACTTGTTGATATGTATTCTAAATGTGGGAGTGTGGCTTGTGCTCAAGAAGTTTTCGATGGGATGAACGAACGGAATATAGTGACATGGAATAGCTTGATAACATGTTATGAGCAAAATGGTCCAGCAGATGAAGCTATAAAGATCTTTGTGAGGATGATGGAATGTGGGCTTGAACCCGATGAGCTCACGCTTGCCAGTATGGTCAGCGCCTGTGCAAGCTTGTCATCAATCAAAGAAGGTCAGCAGATTCATGCCCGGATTGTGAAAGTTGAAAAATTTAGGGATGATGTTGTTATATGTAATGCATTGGTTGACATGTATGCAAAATGCAGTAAAATTAATGAAGCTAGATGGGTTTTTGATAGGATGCCAACTAGGAATGTGGTGTCCGAAACCTCCATGGTGAGTGGTTATGCAAAAGTGGCAAGTGTGAAAGCTGCAAGATTAATGTTTACAAAGATGATAGAAAAGAATGTCATATCTTGGAATGCACTAATTGCAGGCTATACACAGAATGGGGAGAATGAAGAGGCATTAGGACTCTTCCGCCTCCTAAAGAGGGAATCTGTTTGGCCTACACACTACACCTTTGGTAATCTCCTCAATGCATGTTCAAATTTAGCTGATCTGAAGCTTGGTAGGCAGGCTCACACTCATGTCTTGAAGCATGGATTTCGGTTTCAGTCTGGACCAGAGTCTGATATTTTTGTGGGGAACTCTCTAATAGATATGTACATGAAATGCGGATCGGTTGAAGATGGGAACCGGGTATTTGAGAAAATGGTTGAAAGAGATTGGGTTTCATGGAATGCCATGATAGTAGGGTATGCACAAAATGGACATGGGACTGAAGCTCTTGGAATGTTCAGGGAAATGTTGATATCTGGAGAGAAACCAGACCATGTCACTATGATTGGGGTTCTATGTGCTTGTAGCCACACGGGGCTGGTTGAAGAGGGGCGCCAATATTTCTTCTCAATGAGCAAGAAGCATGGTATAGAACCCATGAAGGATCATTATACATGTATGGTTGATTTGTTTGGTCGAGCCGGTTGCCTCAATGAAGCGAAGAAGTTGATAGAATCCATGCCAATGCAGCCGGATGGTGTTGTCTGGGGATCTTTGCTTGCTGCTTGTAAAATTCATGGTAACCTTGAATTAGGTAAGTTTGTAGCCGAGAAGCTCCTAGAGATTGATCCTGAAAACTCTGGTCCCTATGTTCTCCTCTCAAACATGTATGCTGAGCTTGGAAGATGGAGGGATGTTACAAGAGTTAGGAAGCTTATGAGGCAGCGGGGTATTATTAAGCAACCAGGATGCAGTTGGATTGAAATTCAGGGTCAGGTGCATAATTTCATGGTGAAAGACAGAAGACATCCTCAAAAGAAGGAAATTTATCTACTTCTGAAAATTCTTGCTCAACAGATGAAGCTAGCTGGTTATATTCCTGATACTGGTGATGCACAGGCTGATGAAGAGCAGAACAAGTCAGATTTACCTCATGTGACCAATTGGAAGTACCAGCAGTTGCTGCCGTTGCATAATTCTCACATAATTCATTAAATGCTTTGTTCGTGGTAATTTCTTTCACAGTCTGTTCTCCTATCTTTATACTCTTCATTGGAATAAAAAACACAAACAAATTCGGTTTTTCCAGTTCTGTACAATATTAATTATGGATAATGGTATGTCATAATGTTCTCCCTCCATTTTTTTTTTCATTCTACAGGCATGTTAGCATTATATTTATTCTTCCGCTGAGATAAATCAAGAAAATGGGCTTGATTTTTGGAATTCTCATATGGACGATCGTCGGGATCGTGTTGATGGCTGGTTGGCGTCATATGATGAGTTATCGAAGCAACAAACGAATCGCAAAGATATAATTATCAGTGACAATTTTGCTCTATATCTATATCTATATAGACTGTCTATCTCTACTCTCTCTCATCAAAATTTTCTATCAATCTGTCATTTTTGTTTACTTCTAGTCAAATTTTCATCAATTTGTGATGTTCTTTACTTATGTTCAATTGAGATTTTTGTGATTCACAGTTAAGTCGTCTATGTGAGTGATGAGAATTGTACCCTATTTCCATTGCTTGCAATGCAATGGTTCAATATCAGGAGTATATTTGTCGCTGTTACTTCAAAGACAAAATTGATAATTATACATAGTGATGGATTGCCCAAGACTTTCTTTATTTTTCGTATGCCAAGAGAGTGTCAGGAAATAAAATGGACCTAGAAACGTGTTTGAATTTTTTCCCCAGAGGTGATCTTTTTTGGGTGACAAAAATCTTTGTTGTTGGGACTTCTTTACCACCTCAGTTAGGATTAATTGTTGTTTTGACTGCATAAGTTCTTGCCATTCTTCTAGACAAGAGTATGCAGTACATTAAATTGTTATTGCAATATAAGACTTGAGCAATAGATGTGACGCTCATAGATTTTGGACTAGGAAAAAGCCAACTGCTGCTGCACTGGTTGATCTGCCAACTAAAAAAGATACTTGTTTTAGGATTGTTCCATGAGAAGAGGTTTATGCAGCAAACATATCGATTTAAACTATTTTTGACTGGATTTACCTCAAGTATTTGATGATATCTCTAGGAAGCAATTCAATATCAAAAAGGGAGGAGGGATTTTTTTGTCATAATATAGTGAATGGAGAGTCCTGTGAATTGGGATTTGCCATTAGATTCTGATGATCACTTTGAAGATTAAAATATATTTCCTGTGGAAATTTAGATTGTATTGTTGTCATTTAACAGTTACCGGAAAGAATAACCTCTGAATGTTGCAGTAACACTTGATGAAAGAACATGCTTCAAACTTGAGGATGAAGTCATTTTGAATAAAATCTCTCACAAAATATCTGCTTATGGAGGGAAAATGTTGGAAAGTCATGTGAAAAAAATTAGATATTGTTTTGTATGCTTTGAAATGTAAAACAAGTAAATTCTTTTTTATGAGAAGAAATTCAGAAAAAATTATTACTCATTAAAAAATGGACTAGGCGACGGTGGAGAAAATTAGTGAAAGTTGCATACAGAATGAATTTTATTGGACTTTCTGACCTGCTTTTTTCTTCAGTCCATGACTAGTACCAGTTGTTATGCAACTATTGCTTATGAGTTATGACTCTCTTGTTCATATTGCTTGATCAATCCTTCTTATCTGATTGCTGACTCCATATCTGTTGCAGAAGTACCATTATCAGAGAATTGTTGATTAGGGTTTTTCTGGCCATGTACATTAGATGGGCTCATACTTTGTAGTTTTTAATAGTTTATCTAGCAAATATAACGTTAGCAAAATTGATTTAGTTGTTGTTGCTTTAATTTTAAGCAAATACTTCTTTATTTTGAGATATGCATTCATTTTTGGATGACTGTTGCTTATTATAACAGTGTAAATTCGTCATTTTTTTCATTTGTCTGACAGACAGCTGATATAAAACACCTTGGGTCCCTCAACAGAGATGACCTGAAGAAAATTTGTGGTGATAATTTTCCTGAATGGATATTTTCCCTGTTTATGAACAGGTTAGCATATTTTTTGTCTGTTCAGTTACCTATTGAAGCTCTGAATGGAATTCTACCCCCTTCCCTTTTATCTTCTCCTACACAATCATGGCCATATACTTTATTTAGTCTGCCTCCAATATTTTAGCTACTATTATCATAATGATCTCACTCGGATCAGATCTAGTGGTTGTTGAACATTGCAGTGTCTAATATTGGTTTGTTACAATGATGAATGTTTTGTACAGTTCACCAAATTGTCTTTAGTAATTTCATTAAAGCTGGAGTGTCACAGAATATATGTTTTTAAGCACGAATGGTGAAAGATGTTGCGAAGCCTAAATGAATTACTTTATGAAATGGTTTAAGAGATGTTCATTCCGTGAAGTTAAATTGATTTTGTTGGTAGTGAATGTATCACGTTAATGCCCTGTTTTCTTTTTGTGGCTCTCTCTTTCAGGTGAAATGGTTGAATAAGTAGTTGAGCAAACTGTGGCCATATGTTTCTGATGTAAGCTTCTCTGCTTATTTTTATATGATCTACTTTTGTGTGTCAATTATACAATACCACTCGTAATAGAACGAATCCTTGTAAGATAGGGCTATATTGAGGGTGTCGAACCTCAAGGATCGTGATGGTATTGTCAAGTATAAAATTAATCCCTATTTGATTTAAATGAAAGATGATTTTGTGATATCTTTATTTCTAACGCAATTTTGAAAACAAATTAAACTAAATTCTCAAAGAATAAGATCAAGGTAAGAAGGACTTGGGGCTTGACTTCACTGCTAACCTTGTACTATGGTCAATTGTCTCAACTTATCGGGGAATTTACTCTTATGTATATTCGGGAATTGAATGACTACAAGCACATTTTAATTCAATTAAAAAGAATAATTATGAATAAACATTAAGCCATAACCGATCTTTGGTTGGCACGAATTGTGTACCTAACTATTATAATATATGGTGTAGTGCAACCCGTCTTCCCTAAGTACCATTGCATGATCACTACTCCTATAATCACATAAAATAGATGAAGTTTGATTTCAATTATAACAAGATAAATTCTAAGACGAGATTAATTTCATTAAAAATGATTTTAATTATTAAAAACCCAATTGCTTAGTACAACTAAGTCAGTTGCTCACAATCATGCAATCAATATACATAAGTCGTAGAAAACCCCCAAAGTTAAGAACAATCAAACCATGCTACTCGGTTTAGGGTTACATCAATGCCTTAAGAGATGATTTAGTTACTCATAGAAATGAGAGATAGCATCGTTGTTGTTGCAGAAATCTTCTCCATGGATTGCAATTCTTCTTAAGATCATCTTCTTCAATCTTCATTGAGAACTTTCAAAACCCTAAGCCGACAACGACCTTCTCTTTGTGTCTTCTCATCTTCTTTTATAGTGGAGATCAAGTCCCAATCCCTATTGGATGGGTTTTACAGCCTTTGGGGACAATTAGGCCCATAAGGAAACAAAGTATAAGAGAATCATTACTTTCCCGCAACTTTTGGAAACTTCTAAGTGTCTTGTACTCGAACTTTCATCTTCAGTGCTCAAGCTTTGGCTTGTGCTCGATCATTGAAAGGCAATGCTCGAGCGCTTGAGGTTTATGCTCGAGCATTAGACTCTTCTGCTCGAGCTATTTTATCCAAGAAAACACGGCGTCTTTTGGTATTCCCCAGGTACAATTATGCTTGAGAGTGCTCGAGCTTTCAACCCTTGTGCTCGAGCTTTTATAACTTAAGCTCGAGCCATTTTCCGAGATTTGTGTGGCGTCTTTTTATCTTCACAGGAGGATTTGAGCTCGAGAGTGCTCGAGCTTTGAATGGCTGCGCTGGAGCTCTTGATGGCAATGCTCGAGCATATGAACAATTTGCCATTTTTTTCCTTTTCTTTGACAAGTGTTTGGGCATTGAGAATTAACGCTTGAGCTTTTGGAAATGCTCGAGCATTAGGGAGCTGAGCTCGAGCTTTAGGGCACTTTTTCCTCCAAATCTTCCCAGTTGAATCCTAAATCGACTCGGAAGGTCGGGAACATCTCCTTAAGCATCGGGAACACCATTGTAAGCTCAAATCCATAGAATTGTCCGTCTCTTCGGGTAAAGACCTACAAATAGTAAATAAACGAAAACAAACATAAGAACCGAGATATAGGTATTACTAAGGCATTAACAAGTGCAAGTTTGAGGGCTCGAATATGCAAAATATTCAGCGCTTATCATCCACATAATTAGTAGTATAAGATACATGATATTTATTAGCTTTAAGAAATGTTAATGGGATAGTGTGAATGATCCTTCTGGTCCTACTGAAGATTGGCATTCTCTGGTGGCACCTTGCCCACCAATCTCAAAACACAAATAACTAATAATAATAGCAGAAACGTATTTCCTGTGGTTATTAGATATTATTACACTGTTTAAATTGTACATTATTTTTTGTCTTCTTTCAATGAGATATTTATAATTGTTCTTGCAAACTTTCTTTATAAATTGCTCTATAAATATTACCTATTTATACTTCTATAAAGCACTGCATTATAGCCTTCATTCACTTAAAACCTCATCCTCCTCTACCCCCATTTCATGCTGCAAAAGAGTTAATTACACCGACTTCCTTTGAGGAGAAGTGAAGTTACATGGACCTCCTATATGTTTCAGAGATTACGCTTACCTCCCTTGTCAGGAATGTGGCCTCTACTGTATCATTTCATTCCCCAAAGCAAGAGTAATATTGTCTGTATATTGGTTGTTGCTTTCATTTTCGAAATGGAAATTGTCCACTAAGGGGGTGCTGCATTCTTGAAGTTAGAGGAATAGAGAAAAGAGGAAACAACATAAACATCAACAATATGCCTTGCATTAGAATTTAATTTCATTGCAAATCTATTGTAAGTAACATTATTTTTGCATGTATATATGTGCAGTGTGTAGAAGGTTTAAATAAAGGGATAATTTTTTTTTTTTGATAAGTAAATAAAGGGATAATTTGATGAATAAATTCTTGCTTAGAGGAATTTTCTGACATCATCTAATATCTGATTAGATCATTAGATCTATTAGTGCATCATTGCTGTAATCTATTTCATTTTTATTTGGGTTTCCAGCCGTCCTCTTGTTCTCACTTCAATGGTTCAAATTTTAACTTACCCCACCCTTCAATCCAGAAAGAAATCCTAAGAATGTTTGTTGTCTTCATTTTCAGGCCGCCACGGCGATAATAAAAGAATCTGTTGAACCTCTGTTGGAAGAGTATCGACCTCCAGGGATTACTTCCTTGAAGTTCAGCAAACTGACTCTTGGAACTGTGGCACCCAAAATTGAAGGTATGTATTAACAGGCAGTCATTTTACAACATAACAATATTTTGCTTAACATATGGAATACCTGGTTCCTTATATTCTTGCATACATCACATCCATGAATGGCCAGCAAATCTACCATTTTCATACAAGTTAAATTTAACTCATGCTACTGATTTAGGAAAAAAAAAGAAAAAAACTAATGGTATCAGTATTTGAGATTTATTTAGTAAATGATGCATGGCAAAAGTTCCTGTAATTAGTATCTTCCAATCTTCCATCACAGAGTTAGGCTTTTGACACCATCGGTAGGCCCTCCTGCAAGTATTTTGATGGTTCTCTGTCAGTCTCACTTGAGAAAGATGTATTGCATTCTTCTAACTTCTTGAATGTCATTAATGTAAAGAATGTAGCCTAATGGAGTATAAAGATTTCTTGGGCTTTGGATATGTTCTTCATAAGGTCATATAATTAGTGGAATTTTTTTAAAATTATCCAAGTAAGATGATGTCGCCCCACTAGGGGCGATAGTGACTTTGTCCTTTTCTTTCTTTTTTTTTTTTTGTTGTTTTCGTTCGTGATGAAATCTTATTTAGAGATTGCAAGGATTCCAAGAATTTCAACAATTGGAAATGTGAGGTCGGCAGTTCCACATCGAGGACCGTCTTTGTACATCGACGGGAAGTCCGTTGCAGGGAGGAAATCCGTTCTCTCATCTTGCTTGGTCGGGTGTTTTGACAAGGAAGTTGGGGGTTGTGATCGTGTGGAGGAATGGGCTGCGAGAGCATGGAATACGTCCTGTGGAGTGGGGGTTACTCCATTATCTGATTTGCTGCTCCTTTTTAGGTTTCCTTCTCAGGTCGAAGCCCAACGTGTGTTGAAGGAAGGCCGGCGTCAATGGGGATCTGCAACCCTGCGGATCGATGTATGGTCTTTTAGGGTTGGTTGTTGCGGCGTCCTTAGAGAAAAAGGTCTCAAACAGATCCGGCTGTTTGGACTTCCCCTTCACCTATTTGTTGAAGTAGGGGAGTTGTGTGGCGGACTTGTGGGAGCTGTTGCTGATGAAACAAGGGATGCCGAAAGTGTTATATTTTAATATATACAAAAATTAAATTTTGGTCTTTTTGTTTTATTTTTTAATATTATGAAACTAAATGCAATCATTAATAGGGCTCTCAAGTGAATCTGTGCATTTTGTTAAAAATTAAAAAATTTTAAATCCAAGGCATACTCTTTAAATAATTGAACTTGTTAAACTGTGAGATCGTTACTCAAGGCTCTTATGTGTCAGTAGGAGCGGTGACTTAGTCCTGGTGTGTTGTTGGGGGGGTTGGATTTGAATTTTAGTTCTTATCCGTATTTCAAATTAATTCATCACATCCACAATAATGCACAAATAAAAAGTAAAGTAGAACAGAGACGCCAAATTTTTACGGGACCTAGCTTAGTTAGAAACAATCCACCATATGAGAAATTTTTTACGACTAGGTTTACAGTTCCCAAACCCTAGGACCCTTAGTTATCTATTGACTTAGACTGATGCTAAACTTTCCACTCATGTCTCCAGGCCGTCCGTTTGCTCGTCAACTAACTTGCTCCTCACGAATCCGCTTCTCCAATGGTTGTCCATTCTTTTGCTCAGAAATCCGATCGGTTGATTTCTCCATATATTGACGGCTCTCACGCTAATGGGCAACCTGCTCTTTCTAACATATGTCTATTGGCTTGAACATATGTGTATCTGTTTAGAGCATATTTTCATATAAAAAATATAGACAAAGATAACCCTTTAAATATTTTCAAAGGAAGCCCTTTAAATTCCTGAACAGGACCATAAAGAGGCTACAAAGATGACCTTGTATCATAGTGTATGTGATGTAATTTTAGCTTAATAAGATAAAGGAGTATGGGAGAAGAGAATTGATATTTGATGACCAAGACATATTAAAAAGAACATTTTATAAAATTTTAATCTTTTATAATGAGGGATGGATTCAAAAAGATCTTGCAAAGGCAAGTCAAATTGTAGAGAAGTTGTATCATATTTTCAATTCGCCATGCTTGATGCGACAAACTGTTAAGCAAAAAATAGAGAACATATTCCAAAGATGACTATTGCTTAAATATAAATGTTTAGATAAAATAAATGACAAAACAAGAAAGGGCAAGTTAGCCCCCGGTGGACTAGCAGTGATGGTGCGGCTTGGGCTTGGCACACACGAGGTCAGTGTTTGAGTCATCTACCAATCCTTTTAGTTTCGTCGATTAACTTGGTGCTGTAGCTGTGGGGTCGGCTGCAGTATCCCCAATTTGGTGCCCTGTGGGTAGGTCCGAAGGGCCTTGCCTCAGGGAGTTCGGGTTATCACAAAAAAAAAAAAAAAAAAAAAAAAAAAAAAAAGGAGGAGGAGGAGGAGGAGGAGGAGGAGAAGAAGAAGAAGAAGAAAGGGCAACTTAAAAAATGAAGGCATAAATGAAACGTTGGAATTATATATATTGGGACTAGATCACAAAAAATGACTAAAATGGGTTGCTATATGGAACGAAAACTAATAAATGCACCAGAATATATATATATATATTGGGAGTGTAGCAAGGAAGAAGAGAAGGATGATAAAGTATGAGAGCATGGGAAGTGTAAAAAACAAGGTAAATAATGGTTTAAAATAATATCACTAACCCCTAACAAAAGACTAGCCCAGTGCACGAGGCTCTCGCCATTATAGGATTTGGAAAAGGTCAAATGTACACAGTTTTACATTCATATGCAGAGAGACTGTTTCCTTGATTTAAACCCGTGACCTCCGTGTCACAATAGAGCAACTTTACCATTGCACCAAGGCCACCCTCACACTGAACCCAAACAACTGGGACCAAAAAAACTATAGAAGCACCACTTTACTCATCAATCCCACTCTAACATCATTATGGCAAATGTCAGATAGCTGGACAATCGAGACCCATGACAAGAACCTTTTATGGTTTAATAGAACGTTCTAAGAGCAAAATAGAACCAAGGGTTCAAACCACCACAAAAGATAAATTTACACAGCTGCTTGAAACCATCCAGCTACAGACAAAGATCGTTAATGCAACATTCTTAAAGCTACTTTTACATTGTTTCCTCTATTCATCATCATATGATTATCGAGTGTTGAGCCTGTTGCCCCTTCCCTGTGGTTATCAAAATGGGGGTATACAACGTCAACTTTGTGCTTTCACCAGTGAACATCACAGTTTGTTCATCACTATTAATTTACTCGGGTAAAGTGTAAAAAAAATTCCTTACTTTTTTGTAACTAACTCTTTAAACTAAAAACTGTCCCTAGACTATTAATTTGTTGTAATTAAGGACAAATTTATTGCAAAAGACTATTTTATCATTTCTTATTAAATTATTTTCATTATATTTTTTCTTATCTAAATATTAATTATACTATTTATCGTAATTTTATTATTAGTATCAATTTATTATAAAAATGAAAAAATAAATAGATTTGTAACTACCATTTTTTAAAATGATTAACTTATTATTAAAATTTTATTATTTATAATAAATTTATTATACCCAATTTTTTTTAAAAATTACTGTAGAAAAATACATTCTTTTTCATATAATATATTGATAAAAATTTAATAAATCACTTAAATAAAAAATACCTTCTTTTTAATGTAATATATACATGAAAAATTAAGAAATTAATTACATTGTTTTAAAATTTTCTACTTAAGATTTTTATTTAAACAATTAATTTCAAAAATTAAGGATAAATTTATGCAAATTAAATGGCGAATATATCATCAAATTAATATGAATTTTTTTCATAATGTATTTGAAAAATAATAAAAATATTAAGTGTAATTCAATAAGAAAGGGCATTATGGTCATTTAATGAAATATAGTGTAGGCATTGGGGCATTTTGCAACAAAATGTGATAGTTCAAGGGATATTATGCACAAAATATAGTTTAGGGGTTATTTGTAAATTCAAAGATAGTTTAGGGGTTTTTTTTTTGGCACTTTACCCTTTAGTAAATAGAAGAAGACCCAATATACTTTGGCCTTGAAGCTTTTACTACTGAACATCACAGTTTGTTCATCATTATTAAGTACAAGAAGACCCTATATCCTCATTCACTACCCTTGTCCCTGTTAGAACAGATTATTTGAATCCAATAATATCATTTTTCAAAATCCACTCTCCTGTTTAGTCCAATTGTTTGTATAATAGATTTTTTCAGTATTTTTATTTTTTATTTTTCTCTTTCCAACAATAGTTGTTCATATTTTACTCATCAAAAAATAATAATAATTATAGTTGTTCATATTTGTAGTATTACGTTTGTAAATTTTTAACTATCAGTGTGAGGTCATAGTCCAAATCCATTAAATCATTAAACTTTGAACCTGTCTCTCTTGCAGGGTCGCTGAACCACTCACGTTTGAAAACAGTGCTGATGGAAGCATATCCTAAGTTTAACTTCTTTGTTTTTATAAGTAACTCTCGGTTTTATTTTGCTCTTTTAACGTTATGGATGTTCTGCTAAACCATAAATTGTTCTTGTTCTAAGTCTCAATTGTCCAGCTAATCCGTCTGACATTTGCCATAAGCAAAGGGCCCTTAAAACTCGTAGCATGCAAAATTCAAAAACTTCCTCTTGCAAACCCAATACCAGCTTTACCAATTCAAGAACTCGTCTAAAGATATCATGTGAAGTTCAATAAGCAATCAAATTTGATATTCAGAGATACCTCCAAAGATGAAGAAAATTCAAGAAATAGGCCTAAAAGAAACTAACAATGAAAACACAATAACAAGGATATGCAAAAAAAACTCTATGCAATATTAGTATACATGAAGAATATCTCCAGTGAGAAGATTTTTTAAAAAATGACAAAGAAATGGATAACATTTTTCACAAGATTTCTGAAAATCTACTGCTTTTGAGAAACATTTAGTTCTCCACTTTCTCGAATGATAAAGAGTCCATCAGAAAGAGAAAATGGCCTAAAAACAAGTTTTTTTTCCAAAATCTTGATTGTTTTTGTTTCTTGATTTTGAAAATGAGAACAATATCTTAAAATGATATAAAAAAGACCCATGGTAGTTGACAATATAAAAAAAATACATATTTCAAAGTAATGAGGATTAGGAGTCAAAACACGAATCACATAAATAAATTTAACCATATCAGAGTTGGAAAAAAACTGCAAATTTTATATTGCATTTATCAGTAATGTTATTTATAAACAGAGCAGAAGGGATAGGCGGGACAAGAAAGTGAGAAACAGTAGATATCATAACTGCGGCGCCTAATAAAGCCGCGCCGCCGCCGCCGATTCAATAATGTAAAATATAAGATACAAAATATATTTCGTATTCAATTTGATTTTAATTATCTGTTATTGAAATCATATCGGATTTCTCTTATTTGAATTTCAATTTAAGAAAAAAAAATTATAATAATAGGAATGAGAATAATTTTATAAATATGAAGAAAAACTATACCGTATTATACATGATAAAACATTATGTTAAATAACATTTTTTATTAATATTTTCATCAACAACGTGAATGATATATAATATATTTGTAGTATATTATTTATTATATTTGGTCATCACATTGGCCATAATTAATATCTGATTTGCTAATTTAATGAATTATTAAATTCGAATAATTAACTAATTAAATATTCAATTCACATCCTAGTTATCATCGAAATCACATCAAATTGAAACCAAACCCGATATTCCATTCCTAACAGCGTGCAATCTAAGATGGGATATAAACTGATTGGTTCACGTTTTTACAATATTTCATGTGTTCACTTAAAATAACTTTTGTGCTCCGTTTAATGTGCAGTAATAAAATAAAATGGAATGCTAATTTCAATTATTTTTTTATTTGGTATGCAATTTAAAATGGGAATGGTCATTCCATTTATACATATAAATATATATATATATATATATTTTAAAATCAACTTTTCAAAAACCCTCGTATTTCAAGTTTAAAAACCAGCACTACTTTCCACTACAACTACCTCTACCTTTCACACTACTGCCACCGACTTTCACCATCGCCCACCACTTTTCCCCACCACTTCTGCCACCGCCACCACCACCACCTTCTACCACCGCAACCTTCCACCACTGCCATTACCACCACCTTTCTCTACCCTTACCGCCTTACACCACCATCACCGCCATCGCCTTCTACCGTCGTCATCGCCTTT